ATGAATCAATTTCCTACCAAAATAACCAATGTTTATCATCTCATCGACTATGAAACAGCAAAGATATTCGTTAAACACCAGTGTTTTAAAACGTTTCCACCTTAACGATTTATATGAAACATGGTGATCTGAACGATTGGGGCCTTTTGACTCCACCATTACGGACATTCATCGGCGATGTAGTACACCATAATGCATGCTTATGTTTTATAACTTGTCAGCTGTTTGAAACCTCAGAATTAGTTTAAATTTAAGAATACCGAATAATTTGAAATATTACAAAAAAAATGGAGGGTTCAGAGCTGTAAACAAAGCTATTCTATTTTTCCTTCTTACATGTAATTACATGTAGCACACTGCTTTTTTAAAACAACAACTTTAAGACTCCTGTTTGCGTCACAGACTATACTGTTTTGATAAAAAGAACGCCATTTCTATCATCCCGAGTATGACGACCTAATTTACAGGTTGGCATCTGAATGACACAACTTAACTATTGTTGTTACGATTCTTACCTATGACATAATAATAGATATTCAGTACAATATACAGATGTTCCGTACGTAAATTCTTGTAAATAACTAAAGGGCATTTTTATAACACATTACCGTCATTTGTCTTTTACTGAAGAGACATTTCACTTGAATATTGCTTCCGTTAAAGTGTTAGCAGCTCTGGTATTTATCTACGTTTCCGTCCGGAAAAGAGGACATACTCTGTTACAGCGATGATTAAAGTATATGGCTCAACAAAATAGGTAATTAACGATTATTCGATGTTCATTTTCACGATATTCTGCTTTTTTTCCATTTCGCTATCGACCTTCAGACAAAATAGACCAGACTAAAGATCAATATAACGGGTATTTTGTTAAGTCTGCAAACGCCATTCTATTGGTCATGTCTGGGATTAACAACCATAAGTTACATTTTTGTTTTCATATACAAGTGTCTTTTTCCTACAACAGACAGCCAATTACTTTAGTACATTTTAACTCTGTGTTACAGACGACTACCGCACACTGAGACATCAGTTTGCCGAAATCCTTCATTATTTATTATACAATGGACATGTTTTATGGAATCATATTAAAAGATACCTTGTATATGTGGTAAGATAATTTTACACCAACGTGCGATAAACTGTAACTTTGCACTATATTTAATAGCGATGGGTAAGAGTCCTGAATGAGATTTGTATTCCTAAGCTACCCATTTACATATAACGTTTGGGGGCACGGTCTATGAAGGAGAGTATTTATTTGCGCTGAATTCAATCGAAACCTCAGACTTACCACTATACATTCTACATTTACAACCAAAAACTTTTATTTCAATTTCCAAATAGAAAAAAAACCGGTCAAACTAGTGGAAAAATGTGATTTGCTTTTAGGAACGGGCCGTTTAATAGGTAGACAAAACATAAATATTCGAATTTAATATTGGAATGTAACGCTCGATATGAAACAGCTTCGAAAACTTGCGAATTATTAATTTCTAAGTAAAAACAACTTTATGTTAAACCACGTGCACTGTATATGCTAAAACGATGATTTGATAAGCCATTATTAGATCAACTTTGATTTCATGATACCCGGGTGGTCGGGTGGCGCATTGGATACACGCTCGCCTTACACCGGGGCGGCCGGAATTCGTTTCTCCGGTCGGACATACAAAGGAATGGGGTCGCCTGCCCGACCACGTGGGCTTCCTCTTGGTACTCCGATTTCCTCCAACAAGACAAACAAGAGTGATTAATGTAAGTTGAAATAACTTGTTGCATGATTATTGTAAAATAAATAAAGTTATAGAATAACCCAGATATTGCCCTCCCCCCGAGTTGGATGGTACACGTCTTGGATAATTAATATATGTACATGCGCAACTCTACCATATATAACACTGTATCATAAATGTTGAGGATGTGGACTTAAAATGTTTAAGATCAGCCCTCCACCACAAGCAATTAACGATATACATGTAAGGTGCTTCACGAAAGAAAAACCACAAATGAAAATATATCAGATTCGAATAATGAACCAGAAAAGTATTATATTGACTCCAAAAACATACTGCATTGTACGTGATTGTGGTACATGTATGATATTGTATCTCGACTGCATTATGGTGACTAGAAAACACTACCTACCCATTCAGAACACCTCGTTCCGATTTCCGAAGTGTTCCGAATGACTACCTACCATGTGGTAACCGTGTGTCGTTATGATACCCAGCGGTGCTGTATAGTAGTCACGGCTAGCATAAACCAATAATACTGTCAAAAGTTTAGGCGACGTCTTTCAGAGCCTGTTATACGTTCCCACCCAGGTGTAAACTTACACGCCAAAGAATCCGTCAATGTTTATCCGACTCTGTACATTGTCTGAACGTAATGATAATTTTGTATCCATGCTAGACAATTTATTTCTAAGTAAATCCTTATCACCATTAAATCCTAGCCCGTCAGAGCTATTCAACACCATAATGTGTAGTGCTGTAAGAATCGGTAAGCAACGGGCGATAACTCTCCGAACATATTTGGGTTTCTCCATCTCGTTGTTTTCAGGTATCATAGATTTAAAACGTTAAGAGGAACCGCGAGTTTATTTTGTTTAACTGGATGATCGAGCCATCTTCAAATGGTATGGGTTGAAGGACTTATTCATGTAAAAAATACATATTTCCGGTACTTAAGAAGGTACTTCAAGAGTTTTATTAACTTTAAAATGTCAGAGTGTCATTGTAGCGCTGACTACATCGAAACACTGGTGTTACCCATATACCGCGGCTAGAATTCGATCGTTTAGAGGATGTCACCAGAGTTGACATAGCCTTGCTGTCTCTTGATATTCAGCTTACATTGTTGACGAAAAGAATTATATTGTATAAGTAAACTAAAACCCGTATGATTCCTACCTCGTGTCACGAATTGAGTACACAGAAACTAAATACACAGAAATTGATATTTCCAACTCGTCCCGTTCGCGGCGGAAGGATACTGGGCGGAAGTACATCTGTCCTATCGGGCGTCAAGACCCGAGGCCGGAACCCAGTCCCGGAAAGTCCGAGACTGGGTAATATATAGTTTTTATCCGGAATGAAAGGTTGAACGTCTAGACTAGGATGCGGACAAGTCTAGAGCTAATGTTGTCCGAGGACGTGTTAATGGCGATGTGGTAACCGCATAGATCAAATTTGGACAGTCTCGTAATCGAACCGACCAGCTAAGTGGCCTTCAGCTTAATTATAATTAACTTCATATTCCCTCCACAAGGTGATCTTACACTGTGATAAAAGCCTGGACCGACGGTGTCCTGGAGATGCCTTACGGAGTGATTTCATCACACTTTTAACCATCTACGTGTCACAATAACATTGTGTTTCTGTATGTCCTCGTGTGGTATATGAGTCGGGGTGTCACATATTACGCAAGTCACGCGTTGTATGATATTGTAAACAAGGCAAAACCCTTTCTAATTGAAATGCTTGATGTAGCTATACTGGTATACCTGTATTCTTGAGATAAATAAGAAGTGAAAATGATGAGAATGCATGCCTTGTTTCATGTACAATAAACATAGTTTACCTNAACCACATAAGCAATTCACCTGAAATCCCGTACGATTTTAACTTCAGTACAAGACCTCTATGCCAAACCAACTAATGACTGTATGCGGCCAGGTATTACACGGAAGAATGTGTAACAAAGTAACACCAATAAAACTGAAGAACACATGAACGAGTTTAAGTGAGGTCTGCATATGTCATCTGAGAGCGAGTTTTTTTAGGTGCCACGTGTCATTAAAAACAGAAGGAAATGAATAAAGGTAAATTGTGTAAGCATCTACCAGAGGGGTGCGGAATGTACCATAGCTTCTTGTCATACAATATAATGTACCAACACAAGTGACAATAGTTTAAAACAGAGGAGAAAAAACATTCCATACATCTGGATGGACCATACGGAATGCTCTAATTTACCAAGCAATGAATTTCGAAATGCGATGCTACAACAGGCCATTTAGTTCGACCTTGTCACTGTCAAAATATACGGGCGTTAGTAATGTTCATGTAACTTGTGCCCAATCCTCTTGCATTTTTTGGCAATAAAATATGTTTAAACTAAAAATATACGTCACCATAGCCACCGATTTGTAATGCGAAGCATTGTCCTATAGTTAGGTGAATTATGTACGAGGCATACTATCGAGAGCGAGCTTGCATTAAAATGACCGTAACAGTATAACAAACTCAATAACAGTTTAATATAATGAAATTGCTCATAGGCACCAATTCCATTTATGTTATTTATGAGTTTTGCATTGAAGTTGATCCACACTTAGGAAAGTCTGTTAACCTTTAAGCAAGTAAAGAATATACTCTCGGAGGGACCCCGAGGAATGGTAACGTCCTCTCGTCACTCCATATCATTTTAGTGTGACGTCAACAGTGTCAAATAGCAACTGCTTTCAAGGGACGATATAACCAATATAACCATGACAACCAGTGATGTGTAGATCAGCAATTGGAGGTTAATAGAATATAAATAGTTGGAATTCCCTCCTTCACTGACGTTAAATCCACGATCGGTGTATTTTTTAGAAGCGCCACCGTTGTCTCGGGAGTAACATTTACTGACATTTTAGCTAAAGTATAAAACGAATTATTCGAAAGAAAAAGGGTACCGTTTTGTATTATTGCAGCCTTGAATCTAATAGTAACGTTCTTACTCCATAATCACTAAGGTTTATTCTGTCAGTTATAAATGCCTATTGTTGATGGTTTATTTTTTGTTTCGATATTTTGTGGCTTCGTTTAGTTTGTGTTGGCCACTTTTTGGTGCTGTTACTCTTTGCAATGGTTTGCTTAGGTATTTGTTTGTGATACATTGCCGTTTTTATTCGAGGTGCTTGTTGTTTCTGTTTGTGATGGGGCGTTTTGGTTTCGGTTTTTAAATGGTTTGGTTTCTATTGAAGTTGGTTTGGTTTCGGTTTCGGTTTGTCATTGTTTGGTCTCGTTTGTGTTTGTGATAGTTGGCATAGTTACCCTGAGTGCTAGTTTCGTTTGATTTCTGTCTCTTCTGGTCTCGCATGATTTCTGATTGCGTTTTTCTCTGGTTTGGTCTCTACGATGGACCGGCTCGATAGGGATTGACGTCTTTGTTTGGTTTCTACGATGGGCCGGTTCGATAGGGATTGACGTCTTTGTTTGGTCTCTACGATGGACCGGCTCAATAGGGATTAACGTCTTTGTCTGGTCTCTACGATGGACCGGTTCGATAGGGAATGACGTCTTTGTTTGGTCTCTACGATGGACCGGCTCGCTAGGGATTGACGTCTTTGTTTGGTCTCTACGATAGACCGGCGGCTCGATAGGGATTGACGTCTTTGTCTGGTCTCTACGATGGTCCGGTTCGATAGGGATTGACGTCTTTGTCTGGTCTCTACGATGGACAGGTTCGATAGGGATTGACATCTTTGTTTGGTCTCTACGATGGACCGGCTCGATAGGGATTGACGTCTTTGTTTGATCTCTACGATGGACCGTCTCGATAGGGATTGACGTCTTTGTTTGGTTTCTACGTTGGACCGGTTCGATAGGGATTGACGTCTTTGTTTGATCTCTACGATGGACCTGCTCGATATGGATTGACGTCTTTGTTTGATCTCTACGATGGACCGTCTCGACAGGGATTGACGTCTTTGTCTGATCTCTACGATGGACCGGTTCGATAGGGATTGACGTCTTTGTTTGGTCTCTACGATGGACCGGCTCGATAGGGATTGACGTCTTTGTTTGATCTCTACGATGGACCGGCTCGATAGGGATTGACGTCTTTGTTTGGTCTCTACGATGGACCGTCTCGATAGGGATTGACGTCTTTGTCTGGTCTCTACGATTGACCGTCTCAATAGGGATTGACGTCTTTGTTTGGTCTCTACGATGGACCGGTTCGATAGGGATTGACGTCTTTGTTTGATCTCTACGATGGACCTGCTCGATAGGGATTGACGTCTTTGTTTGGTCTCTACGATGGACCGTCTCGATAGGGATTGACGTCTTTGTCTGGTCTCTACGATTGACCGTCTCAATAGGGATTGACGTCTTTGTTTGGTCTCTACGATGGACCGGTTCGATAGGGATTGACGTCTTTGTTTGGTCTCTACGATGGACCGGCTCAATAGGGATTAACGTCTTTGTTTGATCTCTACGATGGACCGGTTCGATAGGGATTGACGTCTTTGTTTGGTCTCTACGATGGACCGGCTCAATAGGGATTAACGTCTTTGTTTGGTCTCTACGATGGACCGGTTCGATAGGGTTGACGTCTTTGTTTGATCTCTACGATGGACCGGCTCGCTAGGGATTGACGTCTTTGCAATTGTTAAGATCTTATCACAGTCGCAGCAGACTGGCGAGTCATTCGAGAGACACTTTAAAGCTTCATCTCAATCTCATTAAAATAACAAGAAATAATAACACAAACTTGTCACATTATTCTGACAACGGGGCTAACCAGAGGTATGTGTACATGCATCTTGGGAAATATCGCCATGGACTACCATTGATTAATAACAAAGAAGCAAACAAGCATATTCCAAGCCGGCGATACAATATATGCCTGAAATGTTTAAAAAGAAAAACAATTTAACTGATGCTTGCAAAATATCTCTAATGACAGAAGATAACCAGACAATCTTCGGTACTAGTCCCATCAAATTATCGACCGCTACAGCAGAGTTGTCTCTCCCTACACTCGCTACGAACGACAACTCTCGGTAAAGATCGCTACGGAACCCTGGGGAAATAACTTTAACAGTCTACCCTAAAAACCCTAATTACTGAAAAAACATAAGGTCCCGTAATGCGCTGACATAAACGCACTAACCAATGGTTTTAGCGTAAGTTGGAAGAACAAATTCAAACAGAATCTGCTGACAAAGCGGAAACAGTATCAACATGACCTAACAGCCACTCTAAGTAGGTCAATGATTAAATCAGTACTCAATATCGCAAGACTTTTTTTGGTCTAGACGGAAAAGGTGTTTGGATCTAATTAATGTGAAGATGGAATATATAAATACCACATTGGAGGAACATGTTGGTTTTAACTGTTAATTATTCATCACAGTTGGATAAGTAGAGATGAAGCAAAGTTTTCTACAGGAAATGTCGATAAAGAAAACTATACTGATGGGAGGAGATCAAACATAACCGGGCCTGTTGATCACGAAGGAGAAATAAAATAAACAGCATGATAGCTTAATATGTAATCAATGTTCAAAACTAATGGACAGTTCAGAAATATTTTCAAACACAGGTTCAAACATAAAGAATTGACAATCAATAATTCTTAACGTAGATTATAATTAATTTTTTCTCTTTGATTAAAGAAGAGACATACTAGTGGTTTTTGTTTTCATCTTAAATCGTGCAAAATCAATTAATAACTGTTCTACTTGGAATAGTGTTATAAGTGAATTGTCCACTAAATGTGTAAATCATACTAATAGTCATTCCTGAAATGTGTTAAGTCGAGAGTGGAATGGCGCTTGTGGGGCGGACATGGCGCTTGTGGGGCGGTTATGGCACGTGCGAGCGGATATGAAGTTAGGTGGGCGGATCATGGCACGTGTGGGCGGAAAAAGATCAATCCAGGATAATGCCTTTGATCGGAAAGCCGTGTGTTGCACATAGAAAACAACATATCATGAACAAGCAGATGACAAAGAATGCTATATTTCACATGTGATTATATCATTTTGAGTATTTACCATTCAGAGCGGTACTTTCTAATTACTGAATTCAAAGCTGTAGATTTACAGCTTAACGATATTAATGAAGCGAGGAGAACAAACGCTATCCCGGGGTATGGTACATGTACGTAACCTCCGAACTGAAAGCATTCTGGAAGGCAAAACTTACCAAATAATAGCGAAAATTAGAAATACGTCATTTATTCAAAATTGCGCGCAGCCCTGTTGTCAAGCGGGATGTCATTAGAAAATGGTAAGAATATTACGTCACGAATTTCCTGCACTTTTTTATACATTGAAAACCTCGTTATACTGCCACCATTTATCCCAAGAAAATTTGGCGTTTGGAGAGGTTTGGCGATAAATTAAGGGAAATGTATAAAGGATTTTTTTTAAGAAAGCAAGATAAAGGAATATTGAAATATCTTGGCGGAAAACAGGCGGCAGATGAACATAGGGGCATTACATCGATAATTTACTGTATGATATTCAAACAGTAACCTTTTAATATCACATATGTACAATGCACTTGGTGATATTATAATGTATGAATACTGATAATGTTACAGGTCTTTATCAGCATGATGTTGTACGCGTATTATCGAGAATGATCCCTCTAAGTTCCTATCTGAAAAACCCGTTCTGAAGAATCAATTCCAATCTTCTAAAAGGTTCATTCTTTTTACAGATGAATACTATCCAGCTCCAAAACAAATATTAAGTACGGCCTCGCATAGGGCGACGCTGGTCAGCTAAGCAGTGTTTCGATCACAATCGCCAATAGTGTTTTCTGAGCAAACTACAGCATTATATTGATGTTCTTTATACCAGAATACATGTGATGGACCTAGAGACTCCAAGGGAGCAATACAACCCATATAATTCAAACTCGTATGTACTTTATAACTGTATATTGTGTTAGCGTAAGTGTGATACGTGTATATTCCAAACCGATCCCGGAAGTGTTCGGGCTAAACATGAAAACTGCTTTTTATTAGAACGATTTATAGATAGTTGTGTTGGTTTTGATCCTTTAGTGTACGAGGTACATACATTACACCTATAGACTATATCTTACCATTACGTCAGTATATAAAGGCTGTATTATACATACCACCGTTAGAATGCCATAATCGAACAAAACTAATCTAGTTTAATAACTACAGTTTTCATCACTAATCAAAAGACACTGTGCTTATAGATCATTGCCAGACCGTCACTAGCATGCCATAAAAAATTGTCATTACGAACGATGATCAACGAAATCTCAGGTAACGAGACTCGTTACTTGTATATCTCAGCCATCATCTTATCACCATTGCTATTTAGGGTCACGTGACCTTACCTCTCATCAACAGTCAGCCACTCGACCGCTAATTACAATCTTGTTTTGATCGAAAGGGAAAAGCACTTTGATTATCTACATAAAATATACTACTTTTTAATCAAAGAGCAAGGTTTAAGTAGACATGTTTGGTATGCAAGAGTAACAAAGGGATTTTAATTATATGATGCAAGATTGGGGTAATCCAGATGATAAAGATATTGTTTAACGACCATCAGATGTACGTTTTGTATACTGCTGACTAATTACAGCTTCGATTTTTAACCGTATGAGTGCACGTGATTAGTGTGCGTGTTCCTTGGTCAGATTCAAACACTTCTCATATCTTTCCGACCAAAATCAACAAGATGTTTGCACCAAGATGCATCATGTCATATATAGATTAATATTCTACTGTGCTTGGCTACCAAGAGTATGTTCCCTGGTAAGTACTTCTTGAGTTCAACAGAAAGGACCTGTCATCAATATTAAAGAACCAAGCTTGGGTAGGTGTTATAAACAGTATAATGTACATAATAGAAGAAATGAAATTTATTTTTTCAACGTTTATGGGGTCATAGCAGCATTCTGTGTATGGAATATCACCAAGTGCTGTTACAACCTCGTGAATGTTGATAAAATATTAATTTCATTCCTTAAATGATTTTTTTCTTCTGAATAATCGTATTGGAGGATGAACTGAGCGGGAATCAAGACAGTATAGTGTCGTATGCGCAGTGGATGTTGTTGGCAGATACCACGGATCGTTAAAACCACTATGACATCAATGATGAGGATTTCGTGCTCGAATTCTTGCGATGACGTTCATGAATTGCTACATTCTTGTGAAGCATTCTTTGAATAAGTAGTACGTAATTTAAAGCGCTCATCTATACGTGTCTGTTATCTATGGCTTCACAGAGAGGTTCCTCTCACGTCTATGTCGGGGACAGTTTGGAGACCTTTCGCTTATTACATTACATTTTGTGTAAGTAGTAAAGGTGAAGTTCCTGGCAATAATATAATTACCGATAATGGATGAGAATGGGCTCATTAGGAGATGCACGTGCGCTATGACGATGTTTGCTGCCAACGTAAAAACTAGAGTTATGCAGGAATAACATTTGTCATTTTTCGCTTACGACTATTAGTTTAGTCTGCCGAACGGTGCGGTCTGCCGAGTATGTGACTGTTCTCGTAACTCAGGTGGGACTTAAGTGGACGTCTACAGCATTCGTCTTGCAATTACATTTACCTTCATATTAATCGAGAGGTTAAGCGACCATAATAGTTGGCCCGTGAAGTAATAGGTTTTTACGCTGACTTAGGATTGCAGACGAATTGTAGATTTGAACGCAATGCATAATAATTCTTTTTAATACGATACGCCGTTGTACAGAGGAAAATCATATCCAGCATATTAGGAAATGCCTAATGTTCATTGTGTATATAAACCCCTGTATAATCTTTAAAGATTTTTAAACTGTCTGCGAGAGTTTGGTATGGTATTGATTGTACATAGAAGTGTTAATAAGACCAAACCTACCAGAGCAGTGAGTGAAAAACCTTTTTTACATTTCGTTCAACATGTTTGTTTATTCATGGTTTTACGTCCTTGTAACAGCTGAGGTGATTTGAAGACGCTGTCTAGAGATGATGGGCCAGCTAAAACGTCATCTCATTGCAATGTCCTAACCTTAGAATGGCATTTAACATAGTTATACTGTGTACCAGGGAACTTTCGCTCAGTCAAACATTCAACATTTACCGGTAAAAATCAATACTCGCCCAGAATAATTTCGCCCTTCACATTAAATTACTGTATGCTAAATAACTACGTATTGCGGAGAGCGAAAAGGGCGAAAATGATACTGCGGCGAAAAAGTCTTGATATACAGTATTATTCTGCCAACGGGCTATCCAGATGTGCCAATGAAGACATGGTGAAAAGAAAGAGAACTTATCACGGAAAAGAAAAAAATTGACGTCCCAAATGTTGCAAGGAGGCACATCCCCGTTAAAATCCCTGCAGCAGAACACACAGAATAAAATCATCGATTCTGCAGGGGCTTCCTTATTAGTCGCCTCATACGATAGTATGCAATAGAATACAACAGGTCTTCCCCTCCTCTGACTTTGTCATAATGTTATATCTATAACTACTACTTATAAATATGTTGCGCCTTTACGTTATTTAAGGAAGACGTCACTACTACATGTACATCTGTGTCAATAGGACAATCCATACGATATAGACATGTACAAATGTACGAAGTGTTCATGTACATGATGTATATATATATTAAAATGGAACTGGAATGTTTTGTGTACTTTGTTCGGAACTCCTTATATCTGTTCTCTACAAAACCAATTTCCCTGTCTACATCATTTTTGAACAATAATGATCAGTCAAAGTTTTGTTTTAATCATGTCTCTCCTTTCGTGGTTGAAAAGTCTATCTGTAAGGTGAAAGCGAAGGAGACCGATGGCATATCTTCAAAACTCCTTAGAGCCTGTTGTACTGACATCAGTGTGCCTCTGAGCGACATGATTAACCACTGTTTTGATAGATCAGAGTTCCCTTGCAGATTCAAGGAGGCACAGGATGTTCCTGTTTTTAAGAAAAAAAATATTTTAGATACTCAAAACTACCAACCAGTCAGCATTTTACCTTGTACATCGAAAACCTTTGAAAGAACCATGTGTGATCAACTGACTGCCTTTTTTAGTAATGCTTTTCATCCTTTCCTTGCAGCCTTCCGACTAGGATTTGGGTGTCAATCCACCCTGTTGCGACTTGTTGAGGATTGGTGTAGAGCCCTGGACAACCATGAGTTTGTAGCTGCCCTACTGATGGACCACTCCAAGGCTTTTGACTGTCTTCCTCATAATTTGTTGGTCGGGAAGCTAGAGGCCTATGGCCTGAGCAAAGCCTCAGTTAACCTGGTGTCCAGCTACCAGAGCAGCAGGAAGCAGCAGGCTCCAAATGAGGTGCTTGGCTGGAAGTGCTGAAGGGGTACCCAGGGTTCTATTTTAGGACCCTTGCTTTTTAATGTATTTGTAAATGATATGTTTTTTATATGTGACATCCTGTAAATTATATAATTATACAGACAACAACAATGTCAGTGAATCGAATAAAAACCAAGATGCTTTAAAACATAATATTGAATATGACTGTCAAAATGTAATAGACTGGTTTAAATTAAACCAGATGAAAGCAAACCCTGATAAATTCAAGGCCATTTGTAGAGTGTTCGGTAAATGCTATACTGTCTTTTAGTATCGGCGAAATAGATATTGTTCCTGACAGTGTTGTCAAACATTTAGGTGTGAACTTTGATTCATTTTTAAACTTTGAAACTCTGACATTAGTAGGAAAGCCTCAAGGCAATTGTTCCATTTTAAAGCGAATCGGGAGTTTTTTTAACCAAACAAGGTAGACTTGTGATTTAAAGTTATTTTATTGTTTCAAATTTTAACTACTGTTCTTTAGTCTGGCACTCTTGTTCCATGAAGAGTGTCAGAAAGCTAGAAAAGATACAAGAAAGAGCTTTAAGGTTTATACATAATGCTCACAACTCGTCCTTCAGACACTTACTCAGTACTACCAACAGCGACAGGCTTCATGTAAGGCGTCTGAAGGAAATGGGTTGTGGGATTTTTAAAATTATAAACAAAATTTCTCCTGAAAATTTTCATAATCTTGTAAATATTAAGATGTCTAATTATGACTTCAGGAAAGAACATACTGCAGAGGTGCCCAGGGTCAACACTGTGAAGTATGGACATAAATCGTTTGCTTTTGAGGTCGCCCGGGTGTGGAACAGTTCCCAAATGACTTCAGAAAAGTTGAAAACTTCAAAGAATTCAGGAGGCTGGTCCATTCCTGGGTTGGCCCCATCTGCCTTTGCAATATCTGCAAAGAGTGATACTTCATACTGTGCCCTGGTTACCTCCGTCACATTTTGGATTGTCTGATACTTTCATTGTCCTAATTCGTTTTTATTATGTATTAATTCTATTCTATATTTTTGCAGCATCTTATTTGTATTTTAATTCCATATATTTTAAAATATAACATTTTACAAAACTTGATAAATTTTGTTATCATTTTCAATTCACTCTATAATAGTGTATATTCTGTCAATTCGTATTCTTTGCTATATTAACATTGTATGTATATTCCACTGCATGATGTTTTAAGTCCCAAGTAATTATTGTGTGATATACAAGTATTCATTCACTATTAACTATGTCTTTTATTTACTTATTCTGAATACTACTTATCTGTGATCACATTTAATGCTTTTCATATATTAACACTATTTTTATACATATATCATGGGGCCTTTGTAGGTAGGGGACTCCCAATAACTTAGAAACCTGGGATATGTATACTTTCTTTTTCTGTGATGATTATTACTGTTTTTCATTAATATATGTGATTATCTCCCTTTACTTGCAATAGAAGGCAGCTAAGCACTTAGCTTAATTTATGCATCTGGAGTCGTGCACATAACCACTTTATTTGAATAAATAAAAAATAGGTATCGAAGAGTTGTCTTCCATGCATAAAAACTAGGGATAGGAAGAGTTACACGCCTTGAATTAAAAGCCGAAGATTATGGGTAATCTGCATTGAGCGCGCCATTGAGAAAATTTATAAACAGCGCGCCATTGAGAAAATTTGTAAACAAAAAGGTCACACAGTGCAAAACTATTGTGTTAACCATTCTAAGTACAGACCTAGTGTGGTATACCTTCCTCCCCTCCTGCATTTTAACACAATATCTAAGTGGCGTAGTTTGCCAACCCCCACTCACCAACGAATGTATTTGTTTTACTTTATATATGATAATGCTATGCTGTACTTGTCAGATGTTTGACATCGTCATGTTTGGGTATTATTTGTTTGAATATATATTAATATATATGATAATGCTATGCTGTACTTGTCAGATGTTTGAAATCGTCATGTTTGGGTATTATTTGTTTGAAAATATATTAAAAGTCACCATACGGTGACCTTTTTCACTCATATATTCTTTTGGTTGTTTATGTGCAGGACGGAAAGTGCATAAAATATATTATTGTTATTTTACATATGTTTGTCGCAATAATAGCTCTCAAGAGCCTATATGCGATGCTAAATAAAGTTTATTGTATCTTGTATCCTGTTGTACAAAGCTGTCTACATATCCTGAAATGCCCTCTCTTTATCACTCGGAACGCGACATCACTCGGCATACCATCGGTGGTATCACACGGAATTTCCGATTACCAAGTTCATTTCAATATTTTATCCCTTCTATTATACGACGAGGTTACGATTTACCTTACAATGTCAGAGAGCGGCCATCCTTCAGCAGTTTTAAATCTGTAATTCATCGGAATCATAGTAATTCGTCACCTAACCTTTCAATCTACGTTGGAAATAAAAAAAAAAAAGAATCTTTCATACACAAGGTTGCGGTATTCATAAAGTAAAGTATGACGTGAACAGAAAAAGCCCGTATTGTATTTGTATAAGCAATTCATCTTACGCATGGCGAAATTAATGCGAAAATGCAGTATATAATATTTGTTTGTATTCTGTTTACTAGACAACGTCAAGATCTGTTTGACAATGATTCTCGGTTATGCAATATCACAATCCATGATCTTTTGTGTGGTTCTCCAAAACTGTCTGACGAGAAGAATTGAAACATTTCACATGAAGTTCAAACCTTGAAAATAGTAAACGATTTTAATTGAACACTACTTACCGTAACACTGTTTCCTTCTTCTACTTCATGTCTTCCCAAATCGTGTCTGTTATTGATTTCATGTAACATTAAGATGGCCGTGCGTCTAAGTTATGCTAACTTTCGTCTGATTTTTTTCTTGTATGAAAAAAAACACCATTTTAATCAAAAACATTGGGAATACCGTCTGAATCACACAGAAATAACTCTACATTACTCGGAATACCCTCTCCCCGTCATTCGGAATATCTCTATACATTACTCAGAGTACATATACATTTGAGGACCTGAGGCCCAGTGCAAATGTTGTGCCAACCAGCAGAGGAGCGTTTCTAATCCGTCTTAATGTGATCACGAATACTACGTATGTATAGTTCGTCGATGTTTTCGCGAAGTCGGTTCATTTTATCAGTTATGGTTTCAGATTAGAGTTCACAATTCCACACAGACACGTTGCAACTTCTCTTTGGTAATAACAGAGCAAACGGCTGATGTAATACGTGTTTAAGTATCGTAAAGAGAACGCATGAGACATTCAAGAGAACCAGTAATGCCAGCACGGAGCCTACCCACGTGGTCCCCAAACTTACCCGAAACACTAAACGACAATATGATTTAAGTATCTGTCGTTCCAATCTCTGTGTTAGTACGTAGTGCTTGTCTTTCCCCCACTCGTAACCATTTGGGAACGCATTGGAACATTGTCGACCTGATGGTTGGATTTTATGCCCTCGCCTAACTGGAAGTGTATGTGTTGTATACGTGTCACCGGAGGATTGACTGAGAATCTTCCAGGATTGTCAAAATCTTTGAAAACAGATTTGTTTTAATACGCCCGGTGTACATCAATGATAAGTGAACACATACATGTATTTAGTTGAAAAATGTTGACAACCAAATAGAAAATAAGTTAACATGACGCAAACGTTTATTCAGCTATTTGTGTGCACACTTGTCCACAATAACCTGCAGGCGTTTTAGCTAAGCGCCGCCATTACATGACGTCATAGTGAATCGCAACACGTACAAATGTAATCGTGTTAGAGGTGTAACAAACATAGGGTTTCTGCTGCTTCTATATCAGAAACATTAGCTGCCGCTCGTTACACATACCTTTCATTGCCAAAACAAAACAGAATGGCCTGCCTGACACTTTGTTCCCACCCTGACATTCAATATGTGCTAGAGATGACCGATCACACATACCGACAACTCGGTTTACACTTAGCCGCGCTTCAAATTGGGAGAGAGTGGTCTCATAGATCGTCCATTATCAACCTGCACTCAGCAGGCGACAACTCGACCTCGCTCCCGTACGAATCCGGTCGTCCAGCTTCCCTTGCTTCTCCGAATCACATTCGTCATCGCTTGGCTTGCCTTTGAAAACGATCGAAGCATACCGTTAACACTCAGTGTCTAAATACATTACCTGAGGTTGGTGGGAAATGGTTATGACAAATGAAACGAGCGTTATTAATTTCAATTTGTTTATGAATCTTTATGAAAGAGTATATGATGGATGGTAGTATTCCATGCGGTACAATGAAATTAGTTTCGCGTTTTGTCTTTCGTTCGTCCGTAATGATGACAAATGTGAGCAGTCTCGACTACCGAGCTTCGCATGGGGTGAATACGAAGGAAACTTGGTTCGTGTCACCATAGCAACTGTCAACAATGTGACATCAAAGCCAGGAGACATTCATTACGTCACTCCCAAGTTCCTGTAGACGTCCATGTTTCATTTATAACCCCTTGTTATCTGTGAAAACAGCAGAGGGTGCGTGGACTTTTGTTTCTAAACAACGTTAGAGAACTGCAACAGAGGTGTATAATTTAAAAATGAGAAAAAGGCTTTGTGAAGATCTAATTTAGAAGAGAACTTAATTGTATTTAAGTTTGGATATGTCATTATATCAAAATTACGGTAATTGCCACATTACACTGTCGGATAGCATTTTCCAGTCGATGAACAAGACTCGCCCAACAAAACCTTATGACCTGATAGACGCAACACAAAACTACAACGGCAACCTTTGTCTCGATGAACGCAAATAGGTAACATTTAACTGTCTTTGGCCAATCGGTATTCGTGTTCAGAAACAACTGATGTGGTAGTGTTTTCTAATACCTACGGTTGTAACAGATGTGAGTACAGTACGTTATCAATTCATCAGAAATATAAGAATACTTAAGATTAAAAACCACTTCCTTTATCAGATATTGGATTTAGAACTAACCGATGATGTTCAGAAACATATATTATAA